TCTCTGTCTCTCTCTGTCTGTCTGGCGAGCGCACACGCCCTATAGCAAAAACCTCTCAAAAAAAAAAAAAAAAAAACCTAACATTTCCCCAAGTAAACTCCTGATCTCCCATGTCTTGACTTCCTCTTTACCCCCGAAACCCTGCTGCTCTCTCACATATTATTTCCAATCAAGAAAATGGCAAGTCATTCCATTTGCCAAGGCCTAAAACTGCAGTGTCATATCCTTTGCTCCAGTCTTTCTCCCTCACCCCAAATCCAAATTAACTTACTATTTCTTCTGCCTGGAGTGCTTGTCCCCAGCTCTATCCACAAGGCTTGTTTCTTCCCCTCCACAAATCTTTGTTCAGATGATTCCTTAGGGAGGCCTTTTCCCCCCTAAACTACAAACCTGCTCCCCTATGCTCTCCATCCTCCTTTGTCACTTATCATCATATAACATACCATTTTACTTGGCTGACCCCACTAGAATTAAGCTGCAAGAGTGATGGGATGTTTGTACCGTTCGCTGCTCTACCTCCAGTGTCTGGCATATAGACAGCAGGCAAACTCCTGCTTTGGTGCCAAGTAATGCTAAGACGCAGAGTGATCCATGGGCCGGGACTAAATGGGAAGCCCAGGTTTGATCGTCAATCCAACCTAAAGGCTGGGTGCAGTGGTATGTGCCTGTATACCTAGTGACTAGAGTGAGGCAAGAGGATCTTGAGTTGGAGGACAGCCTAAGCCACATAGCAAGACACTGTCTAAAAAAAGAACCAGGCCTGGTGGAATACCTGTAATCCCAGGTGGGAGGCCAAGGTAGGAAGATAGTAATAACAAGACCTTTTCTTAAAAAAGAAAAAAAAAGTACTCAGGACTAGCAGATGACATCATGGCTACATTGCTGGACTCCCATGTAATTGACCACGATCCAGACCTGGCAGCTTGAAACTCACATCGGGCAGGCACATGTGCATGTGTGCCCAAAATCCTGAGAGGCGAATGGAGGAAAAGGGACTGCTGTGTGGTAATTGAAATTAACCCGGGAGGGTGGGGTAATTTCTCAAGTGCAAGTGCAAGCACCCTATAGCAAAAATCTCTCTTTTTAAAAAAAATATTTATTTATTTAATTCCATTTGTTATTATTATTTTTTTAATTTTACCAGAGAGAGAGACAGAGAGAGAAAGGGAGGATACCAACCGAGGTCGGCCACGTGGGAATACAGCTCCTTTAACCATCAAGCCACCTGTTGGCCCTGCAAAAATCTCTTAAAAAAAGAAAAAGTATGGGACCAATAGGTGGTGTGGTGGTTAAGGGCACTGAACTCCCACAATGGCCAATATTCAAGTCCTGGACCTAGTGGCTTGCTTTCTCACTTTCTCTCTCTCTCTCTCTCTCTGTCCCTCTCTGATAAATAGTTAAATGAAATAATTCTTTAAAAAAAAAAGAAAAAGTGCTCAAATATTAGTTGACTGACAAATCCTATAAACATTACATATACAGAATGGCATAATCAAGTATATTAAATATGTATATGTAAGTAGAAATAATCGATGCATTAGGGTAGTCAACTATTTTTTAACAAATAAAAGTAGATAAAAGATTGTTAACACTGTGTTAAATGGTCACTATTAGCCTTTGAAATCTCTTGGGTAAGAGCTAACCTTTGATGGGGCGAGCAGGAGGCTCAGAGATAAGGCAGCTGGATATCATATAGCTGACTACATGGTTCAAATCCAGGACCAGTGGCTTGTAAAACACTCCATGCTCATGTGCATGTGTGTTCAAAATCCCAAGAGGAAAATGGAGGAGAAGGGACTATGGCATAGCCATCCCACCTGGGGGATGATTTCTCTCACTTTCTCTGTCTCTCTCCAACTAGCGCATGTACCCTATAGCAAAACTAAAACACAAGACAAGAAAATAAAACAAAACAGAATTAACCTTCCAAACACCCTCTGGTTTAGTTACCTCTGCTCAAGAACCACCTCATCTACTCCTGCTACCTCAGCTTCTAAATTTTACTATGACTTTAAATGATTTCAATAAAAGTAGAAAACAATAGCTACCATATTGAACAGCACAAATAAAGAACATCACAGAGAGTTCTATAAAGCAGGACTGCTTGTAGATTTTTTCTAAAGTATAAAAACTGAACTGAAATACTGGAAGAATTTAATCTTGTAATTTTCAATTCTCTATGTAAGTGGTTCTCAAAATATGGTCCCTAAAGCAGCCCCAGCAGCATATTACTTAGGCATTTGTTAGAAATACAAATTCTTGAGCTCTAGCATTTAGTGTTTTCACAAACTCTCCAAGTGATCCAGATTTTAAGGCATGCTCAAGTATTAGAGTCAATGCTCGAAATTACTAAAGAGCAGTTATCACAATGTAAGTTATAAGAAATGTACCAATACAATCTAAAATAGTCTATAAATGGGACGTGAACTTTGAAATCATACATATTTCTATTATTAGGTTAGTCTTTTCCCACAACCCAATATGATGTCTTCTAACACAAAGGGAAACTCAGCAAGTATTCTCCATAAACTATATCGTGAAAACTAAATAAATAATGAACTTCATTTCTTTTTTTTTCCTTTTTCATTTTAGTTTTATTTAGTATGATTACAGAACACGCTGTATGCTACATAACACACTTTGTAAACCTTCTAGCACAGGTAGATGACCATAACTGAGTTATTTTTCATCAATCAGGAAATTGCTTCTTTAATCAATGTTCAAACCCTTTGACAAATAGTGACAATTGACTCCAGAGATGCGCCGATCTCTTTCCATCAAATGGGCAACTCTCTTTTCCTTGCCCCCATTCATGAACTTTTGCATGTACGCAGTGTCCTGTCTTGGAATGGCCAAGCACACGCCCATGACGACAACCCCAGGGAGAATCTCGAAACACATCTCAGCCGATTTTAAAAATTAAAACTATAATTTACTTCCTCTTCTAGTTTGCAGATCCCTTTTCACATCAACATTAAAACCTTCAATTTAGGAAGACTATATATATATATACACACACAATGGAATAACAAGGAAGAAGATATTTTCAAATTTTGTGTGAATTGTAATTTTTACATGAGCAAATATTACTTTTACAATAAGCTAATAAATAAAAAAAGAAATGTATTGGCTAGAATTACCTCAGCAAGAAGTTGAAACTTAAGTTGCATAAGAGTTTCGAAAAGCTAAACTAATTTCCTTTTACCTGCCATAGATCTAATAGAAAACTATAAATATTTGCATTATATGATACAATAAGAATCAACATCTATGTATATAAAATATTCCTTATTAAATCTTCTGACGGAGAAACGTTCTTAAAATTTCAGCTAAGAACAGTAATACAATACATTAAAGTGATTATAAAACAACTGGGAAAAGATCTAATCTTGGCATACCACAAATTTGGCCCAAAAAGAGACTTTACGAGTCTGACTAATTACAAATTTCTGCCACAGCCAAGTGTCTACTATGTAACCCGCTGGTACAAAATTACTTAATCACAATCCCTGTATGTTTCAGGTATGTATATTGCAACAGCAGGCACTTAGGTCATGCTAAGAAACTTACAAAAATATTCACAACACATTGAGCTTACGTCCAATCCATGAGGACCTAAATCACAATTTACACTGCTGCCTCAGCATATAAAAGTCTACTTCCAGGCAAATATTCTTCTAGAAATTGAATACTGGCAATGCTTTAAAAATCTCTATATCAAAATAGTCTTTATTACTGAACATGAAGACACAATTTCCACATTTTAAATACTGCTTTTAAAAAAAGTCAAATGACTAACATTAAGTACCAACCATATGCCAAAACAGTACAGTGGTACTTATTTCTCTCATTCACCTTTGTGTTCCTACTACAGATCTAGGCATGTAAAGACAATTAGTAGGCATTTGTCAATCGAGAGACTTCAATTTTTTTTTAATGATCTCCGCCCTGGAGGAGGTTACAAGTGGAGTTGGGAGATATGACAAACACATGATAAGCTAAATAACATGGGATGATTAAAAATATCATATGGAGGGAAATGATTATTTGCAAAGTTAATGACAAACAGCTATAAATTCTGACTAGAGTGAGATTATAATGAACTGCAGTCCTTCTGGTTTTCCAACCAGAAAAATGACAGTATTTTTGTATTTAAAAAAAGAAAATGACACAGCACTCACCCCATCCTAAAATTAACATCTGAGGAAGGAATACAATAACTAAAGAGACTGGTATAAGCTAACTTCCATACGAGGTGTTTTAAGCCCTGTATAAAAGTTAGAACCTTGCATGCACAATATCCTTGGCTGGACGCAGACCTCTAAAGGCTCCCGATATACAAGTTTCTCAGTAAGAGCATCCCCCATTCCTTTCCCTCCGCCCCCCTCTGAGCTTCCCACTGGACAGCAGCGGTAGAAATTCTCCTAGCATCCGCAATGCCAATACTCTCATCTTCCTCTCCCTCCCTTCGCCTGTATCAGAAGCCCACATCTCCCTCCAGGGGAAAAATCGGAGGGCGGGGGAGGCAGAATTAAGAAAGAAAGCTTGCTGGGCGGTCGATTATAAAAGAGGAGGAAGGAGAGAAAACGCTGGACGTGACAGTAGGGTCCGCTCACTTGCAGCCCAGTCTGCAGAAGGCCTGGCGCACACCTCCCCACCCCGCAGGCACGCCCCTCGCCCGCCGGACCCGGACCGCGGACTCGAGTGACAGCCCCACCACCTGTGCCGCACCCCTTCCCCCGGGGGGAAGACTACCCCTGCCCCACCAGCAGCGGCCCCGCGCTCTTTCTCGCCCTTTCCCGTCCACGTCGCCGACGAGTGACAGCTCCCGGGGGAGGAAATGGCAAACGCATGCTGTTCGGGACTACCGGTGCAACCTTGTGTCGCAGCCCTCCAGCAGGCGCGGTGGGGGGAGACAGAACGTTCCGGACGGCCCGGGGGGACCGGGTCCAGGCCCAGCTTGCCCCAGCTGCCCCACACCGGGCGGGGGTGGCACTTACTGCGGAGATTGTGGATTAGCTCCGAGTGGCTGGCGCCGCCGGATTTCCAGGCCATCGCTAAGCACACCCGGAGCAGGTACAGAACCACCTTCAGCGCGGCGACGGTGCCCAGCAGTTTTCCCAAGAGTGAGACCACCTCCCACACGGTCACCGCCCCGCTCGCGTCCCCGCTGGAACCGCCGCTGTTACTGCCGTCGCCGCCACTGCCGCCACCGGCATCCCCCGCGGCACGCATGCGCTCTGTGACGCCGTGCGGTCCGGGGTGCGGCCGGGTGGGGCCGGAGGCGGGGGAGGGTTGTGTCCCCGTCGCCTGTGGCTGCTGTGGCTGCCCGGGAGGCCCGGGGGGCGGCGG